GAAGTGCTCAAAGTATCCTTTTCCTTGCAGTCCTGATCTCTTAAATGTAGCAAGACCTCTAGCTGAGAGGATTCCTTATCCATCTTTTCTATAAGCTTCTCTGTACCTTCTCCAGCTTCTGTTGAAGAGAATATGCTGGCTACTTGAAGCAAAACCCGCAAAGCGCAAAAGAAACACTTTCTTCCTAAAAAAAAAAAAAAAAAAAAGTCCTCTGAAGTCTGAAGAGTAAAATAAGAAGCTTCCCATAAGGAACACATCATTGGCCCTGACCTTCATTACTTGGGAATTAATGGCTGGTGCTCAGAGAACTGCTAAGCAACAGTGAGATCCCTTTCCTTCTTCACTCCTTGGTATGGAGGTACTGCTCAAACACAGAACAGGGTTCCAATGATGATACACGATGACATATGACTCTTTTCTTAGGCTTGCAGGTGAGATTCACAGTAGAGGTTCATATATATATACAAAATGTGCTCACTGTTGTCTGCCATAATGTCAAGGGAGGACTCTATAATATTCTACTTTTAGTGGACTTAATAATGGTGCTTAAAGATATCATTCCTGTATTAATCCATTCTCACACTTCTATAAAGATACTACCCAAGACAGGAAAATTTATAAAGAAAAGAGGTTTAATCAACTCACCATTTCACATGGCTGGGGAGGCCTCAGGAAACTTATAGTCATGGTGGAAGGAGAAGCAAACACTTTCTTCACAAGGCAGCAGGAAAGAGTGTGTGTGTGTGTGTGTGAGCACAAGTAAAACTACCATTTATAAAACCATCAGATCTTGTGAGAATTCACTCACTATTACGAGAACAGCATGGGGAAACCACCCCCATAATTCAGTCACTTCCCTTCCTTGACACTTGGGGATTATAGGTCCCTCCCTCTACGTATGGGAATTACAATTTGAGTTGAGATTTGGATGTAGACACTGCCAAACCATATCATCCTGTCCCTGGCCCCTCCAAATCTCATGTTCCTTATACATTTCAAAACCAATCATGCCTTCCCAACAGTCCCCCAAAGCCTTAACTTATTCAGCATTAAAAGTCCAAGTCCGAAGTCTCATCCGAGACAAGACAAGTCCCTTTCACCTATGAGTCTGTAACATCAAATGCAAGTTAGTTCCTTCCAAGATACAGTGGAGGTAAAGGCATTGGATGCTACCTTCCAAATAGGAGAAATTAACCAAAACAAAGGAGCTACAGGTCCCACACAAATCTGAAATCCAGGAGTGGGGGCAATCATTACATCTTAAAGCTTCTAAATGACATCTTTTGACTCCATGTTTCACATCCAGGGGACACTGATGCAAGCAGTAGGATCCCACAGTCTTTGGTGGCTCCACCCCTGTGGAAGATATAGCCTCTCTCCCAGCTGCTTTGATGGGCTGGTGTTGAGTGTCTGTGTCTTACCCAGGTGCACAGTGCAAGCTGTCGGTGGATCTATGATTCTGGGGCCTGAAGGACTATGGCTCTCTTCTCACAGCTCCACTAAGCAGTGCCCCAGTGAGTACTCAGTGTGGGAGCTGCAACCCCACATTTCCCTTTCTGCACTGACCAAGCAGAGATTCTCCAAGAGGATTCAACCCCTGCAGCAAAGTTCTGCTGGAATTTCTGCAGCAGGTGTTTCCATACATCCTCTGAAATCTAGGCAGAAGTTCTAAAACCTCAATTCTTGACTTCTATGCACCAGCAAGCCCAACACCACGTGGAAGCTGCCAAGGCTTCAGGCTTGCACCCTCTGAAGCAACAGCCTGAGCTGTACATTGTCCCTTTTTAGCGTCAGGTTTTGCTGTGCCTATCTGCTCTGTAACCCAAGAGAGGGAACAAAGAGCAGCCAAGTGGGCTTAGATGCTGGGGGATTAAGCAATAACTCACTCCATTTTCTGTTTCTATATTCCAGCAAGTGCCAAGTCCCAATACTGTATTAAGCAGCAAGGTCATGGGCCCAGCCAGTGAAACCATTTTTCCCACTAGGACTCCAGGCCTATGATGGGAGGGGCTGCCCCAAAGGTCTCTGACAAGCCCTGGAGACATTTTACCCTTGTCTTGGCAATTAACATTTGGCTCCTAGTTTTCATGCAAATTGATAGAGTAGGCTTAAATTTCTCCCCAGAAAATTGATTTTTCTTTTCTATCTCATCGTCAGGCTGCAAATTTTCCAAACGGTTATGCTTTGCTTCCCTTTTAAACATAAGTTCCAATTTAAGATCATCTCTCTCAAGTTCAAAGTTCCATAGATCTCTAGGGCAGGGGCGAAATACTGCCAATCTCTTTGCTAAAGCATAACAAGAGTGACCTTTGATCCAGTTCCCAATAAGTTCATCATCTCCTCCTAAGACCACCTCAGCCTGGACTTTATTGTCCATATTACTATCAGCATTTTGGTCAAAACCACTCAACAAGTCTCTAGGAAGTTCCAAATTTTCCCACATCTTCCTGTCTTCTTCTGAGCCCTCCAAACTGTTCCCACCTCTACCTGCTACCCAATTCCAAAGTTGCGTCTACATTTTCAAGCATCTTTATAGCAGTGCCCCATTCCCAGTTCCAACTTACTGTATTAGTCCATTCTCACACTTCTATAAAGACACTCCCCAAGACTGGGTAATTTATAAAGAAAAGAGGTTTAATTGACTTGCAGTTCTTCATGGCTGAGGTGGCCTCAGGAAACTTACAATCATGGTGAAAGGAGAAGCAAACACCTTCTTCACAAGGTAGCAGGAGAGAGTGTGCCTGTGTGAGCACAAAAAACCCTGCCATTTATAAAACCATCAGATCTCCTGAGAATTCACTCACTATCACGAGAACAGCATGGAGGAAATTACCCCCATAATCCAATTACTTCCGTTTCACTTCCTTGACACATGGGATTACAGGTCCTTTGAAGTGTGTAGATTATAATATGAGAAGAAATTTGGGTGGGGACACAGAGCCATATCATATCAATTCTCTAATCCCTGGAACCTGTCAATGTTATCTTATTTGAAAAAAGGATCTTTGTAGATATGATTAAGTTAAGGATCTTGAAATTTAGGGTATTATCTTGGATTATCTGTCTGGACCCTAAGTAGCATCATAAATGTCCCTGTAAGAGAGGGAATCTGACACACAGAGAAGATAAGAAGGCCACATGACCACAGAGGCAGAGACTGGAGTAATGCAGTCACAAAGGAAGCTGGCAGCCACCAGAACTTGAAAGAGGCAAGAAATGGATTCTTCTGTTTGGTGAAACTGATTTCGAACTTCTGGCCTCCAGAACTGTGACAGCACACATTTTAGTTGTTTTAACCCTTCTAGTTTGTAATTTGTTTCAGAGGCCACAGGGAGACAGTATAACAGACTGGTTATGACTTTGGATTCTCTTCTCACAGGCCTACATCACCCTAACCTGAAAAGGGAAGAGAAATGTGAAGAAAATTGTAGAGGAGTAGGAAGAATGAAGACACAGAAGGCAAGAAAAAGAAGAATGGGAAGAGAAGATAAAGCAGGATAAAGTATAGGAGAAATATCTTTACCAAATGGTAAGGCGTATACAAATTATACTGGGGAAAAGTGAAATTTGGCCCCTAAATTCCACATCTACCTATATGGTCAACATTGAGGCTATGTGTAAGACCTAGAGAAATTTGTCTTTAAAAATCTTCATGAATTGCTTAGTAGTTTTAATGGTAACGGTGATGAGAAAAATTTCAGTAAGTGACATTAAAACTGTTAAAAAATTAATTAACAGTTTTGGTCAAAACAGTGACCCCTTAGTCATCAAGCACTTAGGGTTGATTTGCCAACCCTAAACGTCCTTCGAGATTCTGCTTGTAACTTGCTTCCTCTATAAAAATCTCCTTTGACCTCTGCTCTTTCCATTTTCTGAATTTATATTCCATGCGTAGGAAGTGCATCTGTTATTTCTGCTCTTCCAACAACAACAGCAGCAACAAAAAGTCCAAAGATGCTGCTAAATATCTTAAAATGTACAAGAAATAGTTATGATAGCTTGATATCTCCTCCAGCAGTCTGCACAGGACATGACTATAATAGAGTCCCTGTGGTGACTGACAGACTTACCACTATTCTGAGACCAATAATACAGATGGACTCATCTGTTTCATCTTCTATCTACCTTCTATCTATGTATTATATTATACAATGATGACTGATATTGAGAATTATATCCCTGAGGCATGCCAGGTCTAAATCATAAAAAATAGACTGATAAAATTCATTGTCTTGCTAGTTGAGAAAATCTACTCCTACATTTTAGGAAGATTTCCAACTGGAAGAATTGAGGCCAGAGTGCATTTCTCGTCATCCTAATGTAATGCAATTAACTGCAACCCTGAAGTCCCAAATATTTAAAGCATCAGAAGAATTGCTTTATTAACCAAAGATTCATAGGTTTAGCTTATAAATATACCTGAAAGTACTTTCTGATATTTATTACCCACTTGTGTGGCAAGTCTTAGCATAAGGGTGGTATAAAACAAGCTTCTTTTTTAGTTGATTATATGTTACTGGCTTAAAATTGCTCAGAGGAAATTCTGCATTTGTGGGCTTGTTTATATTTTTTATATTGCTCATTTACATCCAGTGTAACTGAAATTGAAGTTCAGTTCTGTAAACTCTCCTACAGTAAGTGCTGAGAGAACTGCCCACATGCAAACCGTTCTGTACACACTTGGTTAAATAATTTACTCAAGAGGCTGGGTGCGGTGGCTCATGTCTGTATTCCCAGCACTTTGGGAGGCCAAGCTGGGTGGATCACTTGAGATCAGGAGTTCAAGACCAGCCTGGAAAATATGGTGAAACCCCATCTCTACTAAATATACAAAACTTAGCCAGGTTGGCCGGGCATGGTGGCACTTGCCTGTAATGCCAGCGACTTGGGAGGCTGAGGTGGGAGAATCACTTGAACTGAGGAGGTGGAGGTTGTGGTGAGCCCAGAAAATACCACCGCACTCCAGTCGATGACATACAACTGTTGGTAAGAATCCTTCATGATTTTACATTTTAATGTTTATTATTTTTTATTTTTTAAGCGTAAGAAAATGAAAGGCACATTGCTGGCATTCCTATCATGTCAAAAAAATGAATATAAGCCACATTATACAATTAAGAATCAGAAATATAGAGAATGGGAATAAATTAAACAAGGAACTCATTAACACACCTCCACAACAGAAAACTAGGACCTAAAATAATGTAAACAGTGAAATAACAGCTGCTCTTATGAAAATCCATATATTCTAATAGTACAGTATTTTGTAATTAATTTCCTTTCCTACCTTGGAAAAATTACATTATAGTTACGTGGCCCATATTTTCTTTGGGCTTTTATAAGTATAAAAGTATTTCAAAAGTACAAGTTTTTGAAACTGGACATTTAGTTATCCACTAAGTCGCTTGAGGAAAAAGTTCCATGTTTTTATCTTGCTCTTTTAACATGTCCCAAAAGAACGATTCAGATAAACTGTAAATAAAAGAATTATGATCACATTTATAAAATGTAAAGCACCTTCCTGTGTTATCAATATATCTAAACCACAATGTGGTCATGTCAGTCACTTGTCCCATGCATTTCTATTTTGGTGACCTGAATTAGGCCAGAATAATGAGTATAACTAAAAGGCCCACACACTATGGAAAGCTTAGCAAGTTCTAAGGCAGGGAAAAGGTCCTTGCCTAGGCTTTAGGTTTTACTGGGTTCCTTTTTCTTTACTTTCCAAAATGAATCCTGTTGTAGTCTGTTTTTCTCTCTGCTAATGATAGCATGCTCAAAGCTCTACTAGCACTTTCTGGAACTCTTTAACTTCACTGTCATCCTGAGAGAACTCTGCCCCTGAAGGGGAAAAGAATTTTTCTTCACCCAGGGCCTTTTTCCTTGTATTAATATTAATATCCCATGAGAATATTAGCTCTGGAGGAAAGAATTTGGTGGCACAATTCCATATTTACTCATGAAATCCACCCTCACTTCCACTCACACATTTTAATAGGACACTTGAAAGAAAAGCTCCCCATTCCTCCCTCTCTTCCTGGACACTTCAGCTTTATCTGACACCCATGTTTTTTTCCCCCTCTTTTTTCTACTTGACTCAAAAACCACTTTTTACTAGCAGAGCACTCTTTTGGTAGAGTATACCCTGTATTTGTTAGGACAGAAAAGGATTTAAATTTTTTAAAAATCACTTGGCAGTGGCTGGAGTGTAGAAACAGAAAATGGAGTGAGTTATTGCTTAATCCCCCAGCATCTAACCCCACCGGGCTGCTCTTTGTTCTGTCTTTTCGGTTACAGAGAAGATACGCATAGAAAAACCTGATGCATCTTCAAAGCTGCATGAGATTTAAGCAGTGTAGTGTGGTTGACAGCAAGCAGACTTCCAGTCTTCTTTTCCTGGAAATGCTATTTAAAACGCCCTCTATGAGTGAGAGAAAAAACTCATTGGTGTCACTGATTCCTTCAAATAATTTTTAAATGACACTTTGCATATGTAGCTGGGTGACAAAACACATGGATTTTGAAGCAATGCATACTGACTGCATTCAAATTTGGGCTCCACACTTATCAGTATGTGATCTCGGGTAAGTTACTCAATCTCGCTGTCTCTCAGTTTCCTCATATAAGATACATTCTTGAATGAAAATGATAATACTAACCTCATAGGGTTATTGTGAGGATTGAGTTAAAATAGTGAAAGCTCTTTTGAATACTGTTTGCATATAGCACATGACATATGCTAGGTACAGAATATTAACATCTCCTTCCCTGCTACATAGGTAGATTTGAAGACATGCTTATAACAATATATCTCTTCCTGGCATTTGAATTGGCATTCAGTAAATATTTGATGAATTAATGCAATCTAACAGAATAAATATGCGAATTTTAGAGACAGATTAGCTCCGTCCACTCACTGTTCTATAGCTTCTGTGATTTGTTGCCGATTAATAAATAGAAACAGAACCTCATGGTTTATGGATGAAGTGGATCAGGCCTAGATAGTAAGAAACATTTATGATGAGCCTCTGTGTGCCAGGTTCTGAGGCTGACACTTTTCAGAGCCATTACATGTAAGTCTCCTAATAGCTCTTTTAGGGCAGATACAATTAGTTCCTTTATATAAATAAGAATGAAGCTCAGAAATGTTAAGTAAATTACCCTAAATTGCACAGTTAGTAAGTTGTGCAAGAGGTAGGATTCTAATCTTACACTATTTTTAAGCAAAATATAACATGTAAAAATCTGTGAGGATGGATTATGCAAGTAAAGTGACTTTACAGAAAGGTTATTTTGAATAAAACATTGAAAAACAAAGTGTATTTTAACACTACTGATAAGGACACACCTGAAACTGCAAACAAAAAGGTGTTTAATTGGACTCACAGTTCCACATGGCTGGGGAGGCCTCAGCATCATGGTGGGAGGTGAAAGGCACTTTGTACATGGAGGTGGCAAGAGAAAAATGAGGAAGCAGCAAAAGCAGAAACCCCTGATAAACCCATTCAGATCTCATTAGACTTATTCACTGTCATGAGAATATCATGGCAAAGATAGACCCCATGATTGAATTATCTCCCCTTGGCCCCCTCCACAACATGTGGGAATTCTGAGAGATACAAGCCGAGATTTTGGTGAGGACATATCATTTTGCCCTTGGCCCCTCCAAATCTCATGTCCTCACATTTCAAAACCAATCATGCCTTCCCAACAGTCCCCGAAAGTCTGAACTCATTTCAGCATTAATCCAAGAGTCTACAGTCCAAAATGTCATCTGAGAAAAGGCAAGCCCCTTACATCTATGAGCCTGTAAAATTAGAAGCAAGCTAGTTGCTTCCTAGATACAATGGGGGTTGAGGTATTGGGTAAATACAGCCATTCCAAATGGGAGAAAATGGCCAAAACAAAGGAGTTACAGGGCTCATGCAAATCTTAAATCCAGTGGGGCAGGCAAATGTTCAAGCTCCAAAATGATCTCCTTTGACTCCAGATCTCACATCCAGGTCATGCTGATGCAAGAGGTGGGTTCCCATGGTTTGGGCAGCTCCACCATGTGGCTTTGCAGGGTACAGCCCCCCTCTTGTCTGCTTTCATGGGCTGGTGTTAAGTGTCTGTGGATTTTTCAGGCACATGGTGCAAGCTGTTGGTAGGTCTACTATTCTGCATTTTGGAGGATGGTGGCCCTCTTCTCACAGCTCCACTAGACAGTGCCCCAGTAAGGACTCTGGGTGGGGCTCCTACCCCGCATTTCCCCTCTGTATTGTCCCAGCAGAGGTTATCCCTGAGAACCTTGCCTCTGCAGCAAACTTTGCCTGCACATCTAGATGTTTCCATATGTCTTCTGAAATCTAGGCAGAGGTTCCCAAACCTCAATTCCTGACTTCTGTGCACCCACAGACTCAATACCAAGTGGAAGCTGCCAAGGCTTGGGGCTTCCATCCTCTGAAGCCATAGCCTCAGTTGTATGTTGGCCCCTTTCAGCCATGGCTGGAATAGCTGGGACACAGGGCACCAAGACCCTAGGCTGCACACAGCAAGAAGACCCTGGGCCTGGCCCAGGAAACCATATTTTCCTCCTGAACCTCCAGGCCCATGATGGGAGGGGCTGCTGTGAAGGTCTCTGACATGATCTGGAGACATTTTTCCCCGAAAATAGGTTTTCTTTCCTATTGCATAGTCAGGCTGCAAATTTTCCAAACCATTATGCTCTGCTTCCCTGATAAAACTGCATGCCTTTAACAGTACCCAAGTCACCTCTGAATGCTCTGCTGCTTAGAAACTTCTGCCAAATACACTAAATCATCTTTCTCACGTTCAAAGTTCCACAAATCTCTAGGGCAGGGGCAAAATGCCACCAGATCTTTGCTAAAACATCACAAGTGTCACCTTTGTTCCAGTTCCCAACAAGTTCCTCATATCCATCTGAGACCACCTCAGCCTGGACCTTATTGTTCATGTCACTATCATCATTTTGGGCAAAGTCATTCAGCAAGTCTCTAAGAAGTTCCAAACTTTCCCACATTTTCCTGTCTTCTTCTGAGATCTCCAAACTGTTCCAACCTTTGCCTGTTACCCAGTTCCAAAGTCACTTCCACATTTTCAAGTATCTTTTCAGCAATGGCCCACTCTACTGGTAACAATTTACTGTATTAATCCATTTTCAGGCTGCTGATAGACATACCTGAGACTGATAAGAAAAAGAAGTTTAACTGGACTTACAGTTCCACAAGGTTTGGGAGGCCTCAGAATCATGGCGAGAAGCGAAAGGCATCATTTCTTACATGGTGGCGGCAAGAGAAAAATGAGGAAGAAGCAAAAGCAGAAACCCCTGATAAACCCATCAGATCTTGTAAGACTTATTCACTATCAGGAGAATAGCATGGGAAAGACCAGCCCCCATGAATTCTGGGAGATATAACTCAAGTTCAGATTTGGGTGGGGACACAGCCAAACTGTGTCACAGGCTCATAATTCAAAGATGGTTTGGTCTCTCTCGGCATTAGTTTTGTAGTAGAGATTCAGATTATATATTGTCCACCTTAATCCAGTACAGACTGTTATTTTATACTTCAGCAGTATATTCATAGACTATAGAAATGGAAAGGGAGCCAGTTATTGAACTTCCTCAGTTAACAGCTAAGAGGCATGAGAGGTAAAATGGCAGGCTCAGTGTTACATGGCAATCAGTAACAGAGGTAGCCAGGATTCCTCTGGACCTAACACTAAACCTCTTATAGTAGGCAGGACAGCCAACTGAACACTATGGTTTTAAATCCATCCATTTAGATCAATGTAGATCCTAGTTCACCTTAAATATCCCAATTCCTACTTTCATATCTAAACCTAAAAATAGTTATTAGAGTAATTCTTAATATTATCTGGGATAACAAAATAAATGAGAATATTCTCTAGTAGTAAAAGTAGTTAGACTTAATACCTAGGAGCTTCTATTTTTAAAATCTGATCAAAATTTTGGTATAGCTATATCTTGTCAAGGGACAAAGATAGTTAAATATGGTTTGGGAGGGAGAATAGTCTTTTAAAGTGCTGCTACTTTTTTTTATGAAGAGAGGAGTTAAAGGAATCCTATTTTTTTCTGTTAAAATGTATTCATTCAGTAAATATTTATATTTACCCAAACAACCACAATAGCAGAAATGCTACTTCCTTTGCATATTTCAGAGTATTTATTACAGTGCTGGGCTTTTAGGAGTCACTGATTTGTGGTATCTTTTCCTAAGTTTAGTATGGATAACTTAAAAACAAAAGTCACTGATGTTATGTCAGCTACTACTGACGTACTGCTATAGAGACAAAGCAGCACATGGTTCTTGACTATTACAACGCTTGTGTTGTCCAGAACTGTGTAGTGTAGTACACATTTACTAGTTATAATGTTATCAGTAACATGAAGTCCAAAGGCATAGTTTCTTTCATTGCGCATGCATCAGAAGCTTAGGATCAACAGCACTCTTATCAGGCTGACAAGCATCAAGTTGCATTATGGTATCTATACTAAAAAACCGGCACCATCTAGCTATAGCATAGGGCCTAGGAAGCTTTGTTAATAGGAGTGACAAGACACATGAAAAGCACATTATCCAGTGCTTCAGCAACACTGCATCACCAGACACATCAGCTGAAAAAGCCGAACCTTGGGAAGCTCACACTTTATGACCTAAACTTCAACAAAATGTGCCAAACATCACTTTAGTAGAAAGGGTTGTGGATTGCAATGGCAATGTGAAGAGAGAGGAAATAGTAAAAGTAAAGAAACGAAGAGGCACAGAAGTACACAATTCTCAGTGATTTTTACACTTGGTCCAAGTGAGCAAATAAATTGCTAAATGACAAGAAATTGGCATGTGAGAAACTAGGCAAGCTTCTCAAGTCAAATGTCTTAAAATGAAGGATCATTGGTGGGATGAATAGGCAACCAAACCACAATCAGCTCTACATTAGCCAAATATTGGCAGGTCGAGAAGGCTCAGCAAATATTGACCTGCCTATCATATAGGTGGTGAAGCACAGCTCCCTAAGGATGACAATGAAAAGTCAACAATCAGGGAACAATTGATGTTAAATTATCAGTGAGTTTCTCTACTTTCCATAAAATCCCATATTGCAAAACCAACTTAGAATTTAAGGGACCAACATTACAAACTGAAGGATTTTGTTCCACATCATCCAGTGGATAGTCCTGGTGAGGCATGTGGGATGACAGATACACACACACACACACACAAACATCCACAAATAGGATGGCCAACACACACTCAGGCCTTCAGCTATAGACTTGCACAAACACAAAAGAAATAGTGCATTCAATGACAACACAGATGCTCTACAATATTTATTATGGAAAAGTCAGCATATTTCATGCTCAGTAAATTAGTTATTAATAGTGGTGACATAAGGATG